GTCTAAGGGGATATTGTTAGCAAATCGATCTTCAAATTGCTGACCGTTCACAGGGGGCCACATACCAACACCGACAATGCTCAGACGCTCGTGCGCCAGGACTATGAATTACGCGTTAATATACCAACGCTAACACCGAAGTTATTGCGTGTCAACTCACTAGTGCTCTCGGCGCAGAAGTTTCCACCTGTTGGAGAACTTTTGTTAACCCTATGATCCCCACCTATACCGCGCAATGTTGTAACTCGGGCTGTGACTCACTCCAATCGGGACCGCGATGGCGCACACTATGAGAACACAGGTCAGCGGGAATTCTATAGACTGCGGATTGCGAATTGTAGATTGTAGATTGCAGCAATTGAAGATTTAATGGAGATACTCACGCCTTGGCCATGCGCAAAGCGGTGGGCTTGAACTTTTGCACATCGGGGTGACTATATTCTAGTTAGTATTCCGTGAATCGAAATCCCACTAGAGGCGGGGAGTTAGGGTGGGACATGACGCACTGGTGGCACGCGAAAATTCCACACATGATGGGCAATTGGGAAGTGTGGTTGGAGATGAAGATCAATTCGGGAGAGAGAAGAAGGGGAACGGAGTAGAATTGACTAATCGTCCGGTTATATGGGGAACCTTAGAACGGCGATTTTTTTCAAATTTGCCCCGGTGCCCTCCCGGCGGGGCGAGGGGCGATGTCGGCAAGTCTTTGAGTCACCGATAAGATAGCAGCCCCTGGACAATTGGCCCAGTTAGCATCGACAGGTTAAAGATTTTTACTTCTGTGGCTAGATATGTGACTATATTAGCGGATTCCTTTTGCTGGGTCATACTATTTATCATTAGTCTATCTCAGTCTCACAGAGAATCCCTGGAGAGTGAGCGCATTCAGTGTCACGTGATTAATATACCCCCACCATGAACTATAGCCCTAGCCAAGCCTCTCCTTGATGTGTACCCTCCATCTACGTACAGAGAAACTCATAATAAATATAAAAACGAAGACGTGTAGTCAACGATATCAGAACGACGCCGTGTTGATTACAAGTTTGCTTCATCCCACAAGCATGTCTGTCGATTACTTCTAAGAGCACGGTTAGAGATTGTTAGAACGATGTGAGTCACTAAAGGCGAGGCCACACCCGTCTCGATATTAAGAAAATGAAGATCTATGTAGGACCAATGAGGATTGTATCAGTATAAGAGACTCATATGTCTCTTCCGACTCCTTTTTTTAGGCCTCAAAAACAGAATGGGATCGTATCATCCTGAGCTTTTTACACATAATGCTAGGATGGTGGAAGAGACCAAGCTGCAGCGAGTTGTATAGATTACAGCCCTAGAACACTAGAACCCTCCAGGGTTGGAGTCCGTGGTGCAGCCTATGCCAAATTGGTAGACATGACGCAGTGTTCAATAACTACCCGTTTCTACAATGTTGGGATTCCAAATGGAGAAAGGTTTGCCGATATGGTTTCAGGTTCATCAAGTATAATATGTATATTGGGGTCTTGTTGCTCAAAAATGCAAGTTAAATGCAGTTTCCGAAAACACCCGCCATGGGCTCGTTCCATCATCGCAGAGGTATGAATATTGTGTTGGCTGCCCAGGTGATTTTACCTATGCAGAGGAGCAAATAAGTACGACATTGAATTTCTTCTGCCAGAGTCATCCTACTCAATACATGACGAGCTTAAGTATCCCAGCAAGGAGCATGTATGTGGTATCATTGTTTCTGAATGACCCTAAGCCCAGAAAACGCCATCCATTGGGATATGTAGAAACGCCATGCTCGCGATAGAACAGCAAAACTTGCTCCCTTCGTTAAACAGTAAATGCATAATCTTCCCTCAATCTCCCCTGTATCCCATGCTGAAAGAGAAAGAGAAAGAAAAAAAAGTAAATAATCCCTGCAGCGCCATCGCTGTTTACGCTTGGGTAACTCAAAAGCCTGATTGGGTTGGTTTCCTAGTTGGGCTGGTTTTCCTTCACAACCATGCGAACCCTGCGTTCGTATTGAGGACGGTCCTTCTTGAAGAGGTTGTAGGCCTCAGCCTGTGCAGGTGACTCGGGGTTCGGGTCATCCAGGAGATCTTGGATGCCAAGCAAGAGCTGCTTAATAGTGATGGCAGGTCGCCAACCCTCCTCCTCATTCAGAATTGACAGGCAAACCGTCCCAGAAGGATAGACATTAGGGTGGAACAATGCCGGCGTGAATTTGCCTGGATAGGTCTTGTATTAGTGTTCTGTTGTCACGAGAGATCATAGTGACAGCTCCCAGCAGAAGCTGTCTTCCGGCGAGCTACCACAGGGGTATATCACAAAAGAGATACGTACATTTGGGAGGCTTGGTAGGGTATTCTAGAAGCGTGAATATACCTAGATTAGTATAATGATCTTCAGTAGCCATAGATGTATTGCGCCACTCACCATCGGGGAAAATCAAGTCGATTTTGAACAGTCCACCTTCCCAGAGAGTGTTGGCCTTCCCTGGAATAGCACATTCCCAGTTCTTCAGGTCTAGGCCACCCTGCGGGGCACGTTTCGGCTTTGCGACAAAGCCAAATGGGTGGTCGCGACGCCATTGCTTTCTATGTAATTCACAGAGGTTAGTGCGGGCCAAGGGTGTGGCGCAAGTGATGCGCAAAATCGCAGAATCCACTGGACAAAAAATATGCTTACCGCTCTTCTTGGAGACGGTTCTGACACAACGACATCTCGGGTGGTGTTCAGCGGGTGATTAGCTGAAACGGGTTGACTCGCGGTGAAGGAAGATCAAGCAGCAGAAAGATGCAACTTGGTTTCAAATAAGTTGCAGAATACTATGAGCGGTTTAATGATGGGTAATGAGAGAGGGAGAAAGAGGTGAGGCGATGAGTGGAAGATTTTAAAGTGGCAATCGTCAAAGCCGGGGAGGTGATAGCAATTGACCTCCCCACGCGAACAATGAACCTGCTTACGTAATACATGCAGGGAACCAGGCCCGGCCTTACCCAGGAACCTACCAGGAGCCTCACTTCTATTGTTAGCTATAAGTAGCTGTTGAAACTAGTTCTGTGGAGTGTTCTTCTTTGCTGTCTTCTATATGAGTATAGAATTTACTATTCTTGTTTGGTGGTCCCAGTATTATATCGTTCTTCGGCTTCTCTGAGGGCTGTACTGGGTATGTAGAGCCATACACTTGCACTTCTCGGCGACTTGATTGTTATAAACTGATTATACTCATACGCGCTGAATCAACTAAAACCACCCTGAAATAGTGAGAGCCTTAAATTAAAGTTATTGATCTGTATCATGAGCTGCATAGAAAAATCGAGGGCATATAGGTGCCTAGAAATGCTACAGTACTACGAGGAATTTGGTGCTGTTACACGGTGCCACATTTATGTCTCTCCTCGGCGTATTGGCGTCAATTGACTAACATTTTATGAAGTTCCTCATTTGACATATGTTGCTGTGTGGGTAGAGAAATGGAGGTAGTAAAAAGACGGCGATTAGCTCCGAAGTGAGGCCCAGAATGAAGACCTAGCATTTAATGCACCAATATAGGGCAAACTATACAGGAAACAACTTTTTGTAACCTGCCAAATCAGATAAGCGGAACAAAAGTATCAACGACGGCATTATTATTCATTTTTGTGTAGTAAAACAATATATCAATGGTCCATCTTTCGATGCTGATTCGCCTCACGAATAACCATCCACTCCCTCATTGGCACCCACTTGCGGCACGTATTAACTTCTCTAACTCTAACCCCAACTATATCGTTGTTATAATGATATGCAGGGACCAATGATAGGTCTCTATGATGTTGAATAGCTTGCCGTAGTTGATCTAGACAATGATCACGGTGAATTCGATCCCAATTATCCGGAAAATTCGTGGGAGTTTTTGGTAGCTTCTTCTAGCTCGCTGTGGTGGTGAAGATGTTTTGAATAATAGTCCATATCGAGTTTCATTCGGATTACGTTAAGGCAGTGGAGGAAGTGGAACACATCGGGTCTAATAGAGAGTATTAGATTGGGGACAGGGGAATATAGCTGTTTTCTAGAGAGCTCACTCAAAGCAGTAATAGTCCGAATGGGGAGGCTTGTTAAGCTCTGGTGTGTATGGTGCCGCTTTTTCATCGGTCACCCTTAGGACCTCGCCTATACAATTCCGCCACTGTGTGAGTTGAGGTCGCTACCTTGCGGCCGAATGGGCTCCAAAGTATTCGAAAATAGACAAACCTCGCATTAAATCAGCCCAGGCACCATCAATTTGGGGGGGACGGAAGTCCGAAATTTTGAGGCATAGATAGGTCAACGTCTCGGTAGAGCTTGCCTATCGCCCCGTCAAACACAAGTTTCTGGGAGGCGTAATAATAATTCATTTATTCGGGTTACAGCCTCTTACGGTATATACTGCTCCGCGGAGATGGATGGAAGCTATCTATATTTCGCCTTTAAAGCTGGCGGTCGGATCAGCCTACAACGTGCCGATTAAGCTTAGATAATATGAATGACGTTTACTTGACCCAGTAGAAATCAATTACTCAATGATCTCTGGAGCAAAGGTATCTTACTAGCTTTTTTTCCAGTGGTCTATGGATGGGACGGATGTATAAAAAATGGGGTAGTCTTCAGTATGTGTTATACCCGCGCACCGTGTAATAAAGGAATCCAAAATAATGGGCAATTTTGTATAATTTTACAATACATGGCATGGCATTCCTCGTACATTGATGCATTCACTAGGTCATAAATACATCGAGACCATACCACAAAAGGACTAGACTCCGATCTTGGCATGTATACTTTCGGAATCTAGTCCTGGTTTACCTACTCTATTCCAAGGTATTCCCCAAAGTTCATCCCTGTAGTTACTAATAGATTGGCTAGACAATAAAAGTTAAAGACCTCGGGAGTTCTTTCGATGGCACCTCTAGCCGATAAAACCTGAAAATTTCCAACCAACCCAAATTAAACATCTTGGAATACGTCTTGTCTGCACCATTCTCAATATGTCCGCACGGAGTGTTTTCCGGCGTCCAGTGCTCCAGTCGCTAGCCCAAAGGGCTTATACATCAGTGCCACGAAGGGGACTCACAGCACAACAAAAGCAGATTGTGAAGTCTACCATTCCCGCCCTTCAAGAGTATGGAGTCACGATCACCACACTCTTTTATGAGCGCTTGCTACAGAAACATCCGGAACTCAAGAATATCTTCAATACCGTTCACCAAAAAACTGGCGAACAACCAGCGGCTTTGGCACATGCTGTGTGGGCATATGCGGTTAACATTGACCAGCCCGAAGCCCTAAGCACAGCTGTTTCTCGCATCGGACATAAACACGCCAGCTTAGGGGTCATGTCTGCCCACTACCCTATTGTCGGCGAACACCTGCTCGCCGCAATCAAAGATGTCCTAGGTCCCGCCGCTAACGAGCAAGTGCTCGATGCGTGGAAGGCGGCTTACCAGCAACTTGCGGATATTTTTATCAACTTCGAGCAAGGTCTCTACCAGCAAGGCGTGAAGACACCCGGTGGGTGGAAAGGATGGCGGAAGTTCTACATTTCGAAGAAAACGCTAGAGAGTGACGAAATTATGTCCTTCTATCTCACCCCGTTGGACAAGGATGCTCTACCATCCTATCAGCCCGGACAGTTTGTTAGCGTGCGCTGCTACGTGCCCGAACTAGGCTGCTACCAGCCCCGTCAGTACAGCCTATCTGATGTGCCGAACAAAAGTCACTTCCGAATTTCTGTCAAACGAGAGTTCGCCAAGGATTCAAAGCCGGCTGGCCACATCTCGAATGTGCTTCACGAATCGCTGCCGGAAGGCTCGGAATTGGAATTGAGCATGCCTTTCGGTGATTTCGTTCTTGACATTAACGCCACTACCCCTGCTGTCCTAATTAGTGGAGGAGTGGGGCTCACACCCATGATGTCTATGTTGAAAACCATCATCAACCAGCAGGGTCAAGCACGGCGAGTCGTCTTCGTCCATGCGGCACGTAATGGCCGCGTCCATGCCATGAAGAATGATCTGATCCAGATCGTCGCCGAAAACCCGTCAGTTAGTCGCATGGTTTTCTATGAAGACGCCACTGAGAATGACGTGCTGGGGGTAGACTATGATCACATCGGGCGGGTGGATTTGACCGAATTTAAAGACAAGGCTATTCTCCCGGATGCAGATTATTATATCTGCGGGCCTCAGCCGTTCATGAATGCTCAAAGCAAGAACCTGGAGGCTTTAGGTGTGGACCCTAAGCGTATCCATATGGAAGTATTTGGATCTCCGCGTGATTGATTGATCAACAGATGGACCCAAATAAGCGGGGGTTTTACTATCTTATTGTTCCACGAGGATGTCGGTGGAATATGTATGTCAGAGTCGCTGTATTTTACCTATGGTGTTGAGATGGATGCCTGATAGTTAATTAAAAAGTTGAATGCTTAGTATAACTTATGCATCCATTATTTTGACATTATTAAGCATACCCTGCACATCCATGGATTATCTGACTGCTTATTAAGGTGCTGTCACTGAGTATTTAATCGCCCTGTGCTGTGAGATACTCAGCGAGCAGGACCCTGCCTTCATAAAGCGACGGTATCCCGATCAGGAAATTCGCATCCACGGCCTAAAATCCGGTACATACCGCTACATACGAAAAGCAAGGTGCGGATGTATTCACCGGCACTGATGAAGTCGACACCTAGGCACGCGGTTAAGCTGCCCGATTGGGGAAAACTGTGAGCGCAACGTACACACCAGACAGATTCAGCTCAGGCGAAAAGGTGTGGTGAAGCTACAGTATGGGAAACAAGCGTGGTTCGCATGTGAGCAGAGAGGATGTGGAGAAATGAACAGTATCATTATCTGGTATATTGTTTCACAAATTACAGACTGAATTACAATATTGCCAGCAGGCCTAGGGAGATGAAGTGCTTCAATGAACTGCAACTGGAAACTAGAAGTAAAGCTCTGCTACTCGTGAATGAATACCAATTCTTTCTTGCTAAGCAGATTGGTTCCTACCTAGATTTATATTCTGAGTAGCAAAAGAGGCCTGTTTGATATGCGTAGCGGCTAAGCCTGACTTGGGGAATTATGGATCTCGACTCAATATAATGATGTATCTAGGTAGTGATCTTTTTTATGACTTATATCTACATTTGTGTTTCCATGACCAAAATGCAGCCAGTCAAATGCACGGTTATATGGTTGGTAATATCCATCGGAATACTCCTATATAGCAGCAAGCTATGGACTTCCGGTCAACCCTACCTGATACAAGTCGCGGCTATTCCATCTCCCATTACAACTTCAAATGTATTTGTTTCTTTCAATGAGTCACTACCCTACTCTACCCTAGACAGAAACATGCCACTCATGGCCTTTGCCTACAAGATCATAAAACAAAGGCATTCACATATTCTCCAAGGTAACAAAGAGATCTATAAAGCCTTCCATTAAGGACAATAGTCATCGAAAATGGTTGATAGGAAGGGACACAACTTCTTTATTCGAACCCCGGATTGGTCCTCGACAAAGGCTTTCCCCGACAACAAAAGTTTGTCGGCAGATGCCAACACACTTTGGATCTGATCCGAGGAGTATAAAGGACCGTTTAATCCTCATGTGTACTCATCTCATCCACACTCATTAACCCTCAACCAGACTCTTATCAGAGATTTCTACAAACAATATCCCAAAACTGCATACTATCATCTATCATAATGTGTCATTCCATTATCTATTACTATGCCCTATGCCGGCACCTAGACCAGGGTGCTACCCACCAAATCGCGTGCCACAGTGCCTTCATAACAGGTTACGAGTGCACCGAAGAGCCGCAAAGCACATCCTTTTTCTCCCTTATAGGAAACTGTCTGCAATGCAAACTTAATCATTTAATGCTACGCCAGTCTGTCTATCGCGAATGGCGGAGAGAGGATCTTCTGGAAGCACTAAACGATGCATTCCAGTATAGCGACGACGATGACTGGACTACAGATGACAGCGACGCCGAGGAACTTGATATGGAAACGTTGTTCTCCCAGTCTCCCACCTTGACTCGTAGAAATACCAGAGATCGAGATGAGAACCGGGAGACCCGTGCGTCCTTCCACAGTAGTCCAGCACGCATGCCAACCACAGTGCAACAGTCCTCGCCTCATTTATCTTCTGTCGCTTTGGTTGAACATGCTGACGATTACGCAGATGATGAAGAGGAGTACGTCTACGAGAATTCTTTGCGGGAACCTCAGCCTCGGGTACGCCGGAGCTGGCGCTCTTGGATTCCTCTTCCTAGTAGGCTGGTGCGCAACCAGCAGACTCCTTAGTATATGGCGTTTGTCACTGATGATTATATGGAGGACACAGAGGTTTTACTCGATGCTTCTAAGCCGAAGGAGTATCGCCGAACTTGGCGTTCCTGGATTCCCCTTCCTGCTAAGGTGTCAGGGCAATAGAATGATAGATCCAAGTAGTGGGATGGAAGTTTTTGATCGGAGTCTTCGAGGTTTCATAGGTAATTAGATGATTTACTGTCGGGATACTTCATAGTCTGCGTTCTGTTTGATTTCTAGAGATAATTTTGGAGAACATTGCAATGAGACTTTACTAGAGCAACATCAAATGTAATCGAACATTATCATTAACATAGCTAAGTAGACGCAAGGGTATGAACATAAGCAATTGGCCATGTTAACCCCCAGTCAAACTCCTCAGTCGAAAAAAAAAAAACTGCGCTATGGTTTTGTTGCCATTGAGTACCTGGCATTCGGGCACATTCACGGCCTACCGTATGTGCAATAGTCGAGAATGCGCAAATTAACAAACGATTGGCATATCATAGCGTACGTAAAAGGGCACCAATAAGGACAATTAGTCCGTGTAAATCCCTTGATCAAACTTCTCGAGATCGAAAAATCGCGCAGTGATTGTGTTACCGTTGAAAATCCGGCCTTCGAGCGCATTCACGGCCTATCGGAGATGCAATAGTCAGCAATGCACAAACTCACATTTGAATCAAGGTGTAGATCTTAAAAGCTTACCCGTAGACCAGACAAGGGATGCTTGAATTTGACAAAGACCGGGACTGGGGTTCCAACGTCGCAAGCGATGAAGACTCGCTCCACATCTCCATACTAGAGCCCCTCAAGTTAGCAAAAGCCCCAAGTCCATCGACGAAGGAAAGCGTACCTTGTCACCACACTCCTGTCCAATCTCCTGCATCAAGCCACCATTTTGACCACCCTCCATCTCAGCATCCAGGTCCATGCCATCCAACATGCCTAGTAGTTTGACCACTTCGCTCATAGGACCAAACTTGCTGGTGTCATATTCACCCTTCTTGTTGCTTCCAATGATCTTACCTCGTCCAGCAGGTGTGACAAAGCCACCACCCTCTGAGTCTGGTCGCTTCTTGCGCTTCTCAAGCTTGACTTGCAGCGGCTTCACCATGCCAGAACCAGTAGCGCCGAGGCCGGATCCCTTATTCCAGCCCCACTTGGAAAGCATTCGTTCTCCGAAGTCTGGTTGGCCGGGACGAAGTGATCGTGGCGCGGACTCAACTGGTTCTTCCTCATCTGCCGGTTGCCCTTGCGCCAATAAGGCTTCAAGTTCGGCTTCGGAGGCTGGGATGTCTTCTGGGGGTGGAGGCAGAGTGTATCGGACTGGCGCACGGGAGATGGTTGCAGAGCTGGGTTGGAAGGCGTCAAGGGGGCGTGATGGTGGGGGAGGTGGTATGACTTGTCCCGATGGTGGGTTCTCGGCTCTCTGGAAGCGGCGCATATATGCGTCTTCGCCAGCAGGGTCATCCGAAATTCGGGTGGGATGTTCAGTGTGGGGTGGAGGTGAGGTCGGGAGTTGGGCCTGAACGGCAATGGAACCGTCGTCGAAGCGTCGTCCTAATGCTGCGCGGCGAGCAAATGCATCGTCACCAGATGGGTCATTGGGGATAGAAGCTGCTGGTGGCACATCATTAAGATTTGACGGTGGCGCAAAGTTGCTTGGAGGCGCAAATTGTCCTAATTTCTTTTTAGTCTGGGCGTCATCACTAATCGCACAAGACCCGAACATACGCATGTTTGGCCCATCATAATCCTCGCTATCGGAATATCTGCTCGGTGAGCGCTTTCTGACATGAGCATACAAGACATCCTTCCACTCGCGGATTTCAGCGATCTTCTCATCGCTGTGGCGGTATTCCGCGTAATTGGTAGGTCGAGAAGGGTCGTAGATATCATCCCAATTTTGGACAGCATGTGCTTCAAAGTTCTTCTTGCGCTTCTTTCTTCCGCCACGCTGTCGCTTCTCGCGCGCGTACTCATAGTCGTCGTCTTCCATAGCGGTCCAATCAGCCAAAGTGCTCTTCGTCGGTACCGAAGGTTTAGCTGAGGGCTGTGGTTGTGGCACTGCTTTGGGGAAAGTATGTTTCGGTTTGGGTTTCTGAGCTGAGAGCTGGGGTCTCTTGTGGGGTTGGAACCGAAGGGAAGCTACAAAAAAACAGAAGAGAAAATCAACATGTGCGGCTTCATACATCAAGCAAGTCAAGGGTAAATTAAATACCAGGATTCAGTTGTTGCTTTTTGGCAGCTGCGGCGTCATCAGGATGAGGTTCGATCTCCGACTGTTTAAAGACAACAGGAGCACGGGAGATGATTCCTGTCGTGTCAGAAGATGAATTAAGTAGGTTTGCATAAAGTGACATGCCCCCTTTTGGAGGGGTGGGATCAGAAGCCATGACTGTTGTTATGGTAAGAGTGTGTCGACGGCCTGAGAACGTCGGCATCGATCAAGTACGACTAATCGCGATAAGACATCCTCTATCTCTCTCCTGGAGGTCCGTGCGAGGGGCAGAGCTAAAGGTCAATCGTCTGCCTGAATTGTAGACCGCTTTCAACACCGCTCTACAGTGACTCCACACTAGTTCACCCCCCACATAGTAAATGCGATATATTATGACTTGATATCTCAACAACCACGATTGTATTTGATTTAATTGCCTGTCGATTGCTAGCGATAATAATTTCAAATACTTTATATCAATCTTAAGAAAATCGAAGAGGTACACTATTACGGTATTGAAAATTACAGTGCTAATCGCTAGAAATATATATATCGCAATCACAAAGTCATATATTTCCCAAACTCCCTAGAGAGGCTAGAAATTACCCGAGAAGCATCAGTCTATAAGAAATCTCTATATAGACTGCCGTTGTTGAGATATCAAGTTGTAATTTATCGCATTTGCTAGTTGTGTTTGGGGGCTCGGTGGTGTGGCTCGGTAGTCAAATACGTTATTTACCATGTAATGTAAACTGAGGTTATTCCTGTGCAAACCTCCATATTTCAGAAGCTGACGCTACATATTCCCACACTACAAACCATCAAATCCATCAAATCCCCAGCGTTCGCGTTCTTCCCGACCGTACAAATCATGAAATTGAAGCTACGAGGATCACAAAGGATGCGGAGGCGAGCCCGGTCTTAGGGCAAGTCGCCACACCGGAGCCGGCGGAGCGTAAGTGAAGATGGCTTAAGATTAATAAATATGTAGATCGGTAGGGTGAGAATAGCTTCATTTTCATTAAACGGCGAGATTTATAAAGTGGGAATAGCTTCAACGCCTAGAATTGGGTGTATATAGATATTTGTATAACTAATAAGAATTTAATCTATCTCACATTCCACTATGCACTTCGACGTGCACCCAGTAACTAACTAACTAGTTAGTCCTCTCCTGATACTAAAATAAGGCATAATTCAGGCATAATAAGACATCAACCCTGAGAAATCAGGCATTATATCCTAAATCCTAAAACGGCGTATTCATCACATCAGTTTTCCTGGAGTCGACGCTTGGGAATGGCTGAGATAAATGGTGGAATTGGTGGAATTAGTGAAGCTATTAGGACTTACTGACATGCATGTAGACAGAACTAGCCAATCTACCAAATATCTGCCTTATCTATTTCAATCAATGCTGCCAATACATGGAGAATAACAACATGAAACGAGGAATGTAAACTTTCCCCGCTTACTAGACATTCCTTCTTTTGGAATAATGAGATAATCCTGTCTTCCATACGACCGAGTTTTACTTGAACTCCAGTGGAGTCAGATATTATAAACCAAGACCCAGTTTCACCCCCTTCAGGAATATTTGCCTTCATTTTCATGAGACCCCTGTTGGTGTCTTCCCAAGTACATTGATACTGGCCTTCAATAGACTTGTGTACTTCCACCAAATGATCTCCTCGAAAATTGATTATAGTACTCTTTCCCTTGTGCCTCAACTTGCAATTTCGAATGACAGCTAACACATCTTCCTCTTGGTCCGCAACATCTGAGTCAAGCAAAGGATAATCCGTGTGCTGGCATACGTAGATATCGTTCATACGTAATTTGGCTTCCGGGATAGAGTTTTTGACAACGCCGTAATTGAAGACGCCTGGACGCCAGAGTTCAAGGACAGGCATGGCATGAGCGTTACAGCTGACCCGTTGGATTTGCATTATAAGTTTTGGTCGAAGGTGAAGCTTTTGGCTGGTCTTTGCCGGAGCGGGACGAGCCAAATGAAACATTGTATAGGTTGCATCGTTCGGTATGTGAGTACTGCAGGGCCGGATTAAAACACTTGTAAGTTGAGGTATAGAAACATGACCAACCATTCCTCGCAATCGCCGTCGTTGCTATATTCGAGGGACTCACTATCGCTCATATCGAGTGCACAGCGCGACCATAATTAGGGAGCTTACCGAAGTTTCCAAATCGCATTTTGAACGGCTACGTAGTGTAGCCTTATATCTTGTTCATGAAGAGAGTTTAAAATAATGCGGCTTTCCGCGTCTAGGGCTCTATTCTCCCCCTGTCGGTATAGTAGAATCCCTCAACCTACACAATTAGGTCAATTTCTCGGGGCTCGGTATTCGGTAGGGTCAGAAATTGTTTGGCTCCGTCTCGGTGTTCGGTGGACGGAACAATGCGGGTTCCAGGCCGAGTTTTAAGCTTCAGTTTTTAAAATCAAGCATACAGTAAAACCTATTTATAACGATCTATTCTAGACAGAGCAAAAATATCGTTATATCCTGATAATCTTTAAATCAAGGTGCCATATATTAGATACATATTTCTTGTTTACATACAAATTTTAGGTTTCAAAAACGCTCCTAATATCGTTTGCTTCTGCCCTGCTATTTTCCTTCAATTAACCTCTTATATCTATAAATCTAGGGTTCTTTATCCACTATATTATCCTCATTAGCCTCTCCAAGGAACTCGCTAGGTATGATATTATTAGAATTAGTAGAGATTTGGTCGGTCGTAACAGCTTCAACGCCTAAAAATGGGTGTATTCGGGGGTTTGTATGGGGGAAATGGCTTCGTTTTTTTGAACTTGGATACATATTTTGCTTATTAAGCCCTCTAGTAATTCAAGCAGTTATTTTGATTTCTGCCAGTCTAAAATAGTGCAGAATTCAGGCATATTAAGGCATCAACCCTACAAAATCAGGCATTGGGCCTTTGGCCGCTCTGCCCCTTCATAGGTCCGCCTATCTCTCCGCCTCCGCCTGAGCACCACCACCATTATTCATTTACCATCACCGTGACCATTCATCCTTTCCTCTTTCGCATATAGTTGTTTTGTTTTGCTCAATTTCGTCATTCCTAAGACTGACACCTCCTTAAACAAGCTTGACCGGTAAAGGTGAGCCTGAGGATAGCTCAAGCCCATATCAAAGTCAGACACAACATACGCGTGGACGCAATGGCCCAACAAACGCCAAATCCCAAAGCATTAGGCAAGCCAAAAGGAGTATGTATACTGAATTGCAGATATCAATCTGAGCTCTATCAGCCCGCTTAATTTCTTAGCCAAACTGTCCAATTTTCCGTCTATTTTTCATATCAAATGGGTCCTCCAATACTGATCTTGATCCAGTCTCTCAATGCTCCTATTGCAGCTTTCACCATGGCTGTCCTCCTTTGTTCATACTGTGTTAGCTCTATCCGCACTGCGCGGCGAGATGCCCAGACCCAAGCTCCGGGGCCCGGTTCTTATCAGCGAGCTACGCCATTTGAAAGAAAAGACGAGTCTTGGGTTCAACAAGCACTTGAAGAGAGTCGAGCACAGAATGGTGGGAAGGGACGGCCTTGAGGTGTACCTATGTTTAAAGGTGTTTTTGTACATGTATGATATAGATTAAATCCGCTACGGCAATGTTTGATGAAAGTTCGTGATACCAGCATGTGGAATTTCTTGTTCATTGTTATTTGTTGCTATATAGGTGGGAATAAACCAGATCCAACTGGAAATAACATCTTCGTCTTCATATTCAATCAGAATTTTCAGTGTATGAATGATCATGCACCGGGAGTCTAAGTGTGTTGACAACCCAGTTCAAACTTGAAATTTTTCATCATGCGAATAGTGAAGGGATGTGTGAGGTGGCCAAAGGAATTGCGAGGTGCGTTAGAATAAACACGGGTGATGAGACTATACAGGCACATATAGCTGCCTTTCAATATATCAAACGGCCCACGAAGCCAATGGCATACATAATTGGGTTGGATCCAAGTTAGGTTAGCAAGTGATCCTGATCAAAATCGACGTCTGTTGATCTGAGACTCGAAGCGCTGACATTAAACACTTGAGAAACATGTACAAATTGATGATTGTCGAAGAAAAAGTGTAAAGGGAAGTGGAAAGGGAAGAAGGAAAAAAATTATCGCGGCAAATTTAAATAATGTGTCACGTGGTTTCTCCATATGTTTGCACAACCACTCTACTTTCAGCCTGGGCAGCATTTTATACATCTATCAGCATCAAGTTCGAAACTAGACTTTAAAGTCCGCCACTTTAGTTAGCCACTTTAACTTCAGTATAAAAGTTGTGCCTTTGATTCAACTTATAAGAGGGGCTGCATCATTCTGCATCTACTATCATTACCTTCCCCATATGGAATACAACGTAAGCTTGCACATTGTTGCTTCGACTAGATTTGAATCTAGGTTATCTCATGTTGGGTTTCACATGAGTATGAATTATATAACATATTATTTGTTTTGAATGCCTGGAACTTTCCCGTTGATCCATCTCTCGACTTTTTCTCAGAAGCCTCTCACTTTCCCACTTGTTTCTCCTCAATTATTGCTCTCCGGGATTCCAGTCTTCTCAACGACCTGGTGAAAGTCATTTGTGATCACATCAATGATTTTGGGCACAACAAGGAGATACTCGAGCTTTTCCGGAAACACGTTCAACTTGGATCTCTCGTTATTGCGAGAGCAGCGGAACATGGTATCACTTTGCCAATTCGTACTCTGGAAGGTCTCGCTGACAATTTTGATCTGCAAAGCCGTTGTTGAGAGTGTAGGGTACGCTTTAATTTAATCATGTAGGAGGAGGAGTTTTAGAGGGGCATTTTCCGTTATTACAATTGTGAAACTCAGCATAGAAGTTATTGACATTGATCTGCTATTCTCAGAGGTATTCTCGTTGCTTTCAACTCAACACATGGTTAAAGGTTAAAACCACCACGATTTTGAATACAGTACCTAGTGCAAAGGAGGTGGTACCCAAAGAGATACGTCTAGAGGACCTTTAGAATTCACACCAGACGCTTCGCAATGGTCGAGATGGATCCCCAGCTATTATTTCCTAGTGGGCTTCAATTCTAATATGTCCCTCGTCTTCCAAAATCTGAGATAAAAGGCATTGCTTTATTCGAGGATGTATGTTCACGAGAATGGGCAAGCATGCAGAATAGGCGGTGTATATACAGGAAAGACGTGCAAAAACCAGGAAGATAGTAGACAAGTTTAAAAAGCAACAAGAAAGAAAAGAAAAGTCATGCTTTGAGGGACAATAATCTTTCAGCTAATATGCAGCGAGCATGTGAAGACATGTGAAAGCTGTTTCACATGTCAGAGCCTTAAAGTCTGGAGGACAATGTCATCTATGCCGAGATTCTCGTATGCTTTCAGAATGCAGTAGCCAAAATTTACTCGCTAAAGATTGATCTGCAAATATCGGGCAACAGACCGCCTTGCCCATGTCTATACAGGTTGTGGCAAAAGGAAAAAGAGGGACTTGGCGGACAGAAGCAGTGGGGTGCGATGTTTTAAAGCGGATATGAAGGGAGGAGATTGGGGATAGGAGGTAGTCTCTTGTGTGTTGATATATCGTGGGTGTCAAATAGATCTCCCAGCTTCTTCTTCCATCTGGATCCTCAGCGCACCTTCATGCTGCAACTTATTGATCTGCTTCCGCAGGTATTCGTAGGTGAGCATGGTAGTCATGGCGGCCGGGACGGCCCGGAACAGATTGACGCCGATCCCAGAGTAAAATACACGCCATCCCTCTTCCTTGAGGATTGTCTGGAACGTGCGCACCATGCCATTATAGCGAGGGCGGCTAGGCATTCCGTCTGACGAGGATATGCCGCCCGACCGGCCGCGGTCATGTGGATGTTTCAATCCGCCGCGGAACGCAATCTCTTCGTGGGATTGTGCCGGAATAGTCCGTTGCTGTGTTTGAAGGCGGGTCCGCAAGACCTCGTGCGGGTATGTAACTGTGCTTGCACAGATCTTGCTGAGGAAAGTAGCGACGGATATTCCCATCCAGTGTGAGCTACCGGTATCGGGGTGTTCACCGATACCATAGCCTGTCAACGCCATCTTTAGATATTCGTAGAGGGGGAATTGAATAGCCACATGAGTCAGTCCCAGCAGAGCCGGGGTGAGGCCAGAGTAGAAGGAGCGAAGGCCCTCGATTTGATACATCTTGCGAGCAGCATCCCATGTTCCTGAGTATTGCCAAGGGGCTCGCACTCCTTCGCTGTTTTGTTTAAGGCTTTGTGACATGAGCCTGGTCTTTATGACCCAAATGGGGTTCGTCACAACCGTTGAACATGCACCAGCTGTGATTGATGCATAGCCGCGGGATAACCACCAGCTTCCTGTAATTTAGTCAGTATTGATGAATGACCGAATCCTCCATGCTGGAGGTACCTACCTGTCTGGTCATAGAAGTATTCACGAGTCCGGTCATAGACTGCTAGATAAACAGCCCAGGTGGGAAGATATCCCAGCAACATTGGACCTAGTCCCTGGTAGAGACCGCGAACGCCATCTTCTCGCCAAATCCTCCTTCCACTTCCGAGCATGCCACGATACAGCACCCCCGAGGCAACTTCTTTTGCTCCCCGCCGAAACCCACCCTGGGCTTGAAGCTTCGTTTTGATAACATCAAGAGGACAGGTGACAATACCAGAGGCTACGCCAGCGCTGGCTCCGCAGAAAGGTGCTATGTAAAAGTTGGGTATCTTGGTGGAAAAGACCTCGAGGCGTGCTTTGAAATCAGAGCTCGGTGCGGCGGGCACATTTGGAGCATTGTCGACATGGATTGACCGAGTTTGGTTTTGAGAGCTGTTCGGAGCGCTTCGGCCGTTTGTAGTCATCTTGGTGGCCGGCGCTCACGCAGCTTGTCGAACCGTACTGAATCAACGAGGGCTCCCGGACACGAGCATATCGGGTGCTCGATCCGGAACCCAAGAACCCTATTTCAAACCGAGCTGGGAAAGAAATATAGATTTATCCGAATATCCAAAGTCCGTGAATAGTGTGAGGAAGAAGGTGTGAGTAATGATGGAGGATTGAGAGAGAGTTTTCGGGGCCGATGGTTGCCGAACCCGGTCTAATCGCGTTGAATGCGCAATGTTCTATTATCTTGCAGCACGGACGTGGGCGGGGTTCTCAGAACAAACAAGCTTCTCAGTGTAAGCAAGGATTAGTTGTTGCTTTGAGGCCTAACAAATCCCATCTCTGTCAAAGCAAGCGATAAGATCGAAAAGGGGATATGATGTAGGAAACCCATCCGTAAGGTGGAGTGCGCCGATTGACATTCCCAGTTTCTCCACCGCCTGAGGCATACAAATATCACGTGCTAGTAGCCTCAGGCGTAAAACTGCCATTTCAGGACTAGCCGCCCGAGCTCCGTTTTGCACAACCTCGCAACATCGGGTCATCTCGTGTTCCAGTCGGATAGCCTTACCAACCCTTCACCACACCCACGTCAATTGGGATACCCGGGATTCAAAATGTCTGCCCCTTCGCTCGCCAGTTACATCGTCAAGCGCCCATGGCTCAAGAGCTGGCTCACCCCTCTCTCCCACTGGTACACCGATGCCGCCGGCTACAGGAGACTCGGACTCAAGTAAATCTTGCCCTCCCACATCGACGACCCCCCGACCACAAGCGATTGAGACAAAGATTTGGAATTGGCTGGTCGAATTCGTCGCGCACCGGTGGCATATCCTTTGAATGCGATCGCAGTTGTGTCGAATTTGCCCGGAAGCCCGGTCTTTCGGATATCGTTCGCGGCAGGGTTGGACCAAAACACTTGCTAACCGCCAAACTAGGTTCGATGACTTGATCCCTGAGGAGAGTGAGAACGTCCAGAAGGCCATCAAGCGTCTTCCTGCCAAGGAGGCCTACGACCGTGTCTTCCGTATCCGCCGTGCTTTCCAGGTTCGACCAACCCCCTTCCTGTCTCCAACTGGCGCAGAACCTAACAAATGTGTCAATTGCAGTGCTCCATCTCCCACACTCTCCTTCCCGCCAACGAGCAGATCAAGCCTGAGGAGGTGAGTCCCCAACATCCAAATTTCGCCCTCCCCGCATTGATCTCCATATCGGCCAATCCTGTTGCATGGATTTGTCACAGTCATCCCGACTCCGTTTTGGGGCATCCACTCACCGCAACGAAGACAATGCTAACGATGCGAATCAAATAGGACGTCGAGTACCTTAGCCCCATCATCCGCGAGATCGAGAAGGAGGTTAAGGAGCGTGCTGACCTTGACAACCTTGTTGTCCGCAAGTAAGCCATTGCTGCTTGGTTCAATGGAATATGAAAACAGGGGAGGTTCGGTAGCATTGTTGTTGACATGGAATAAACGCCTGGTGTGCTTTCTTCGTAATGGAATGGGCGTCGTCGTCGGCGGCCCATGGCTTGGTTACGCAGCCTGAGTGTACTGATACTGTACAAATCGATTTTCTTCGCGCGCTTATACCTCTGGTCAATCTTGTAATCAACAAGTGGACCTTGCACCTCTTGCTGTATTCATAACAGACGAGAGTGTTTTGAAGTAACGTAGCCTATGCAGGCCTGGTGTGTTTGGGCGTCAGGCGCCCAACCTCATCTGCCTGCATATGTATAACATCTTCAATTATTCCCCTTTTCTCATACCCACGAAAGCAGAGCCACAATTCACTGTCAAGCATTGACTATATGCATTATGATAATATCTATACTACAGATCCCAAATTCGCGATGTCCGGTACCACGCACAGTATCAAGACAGCCTGATTCACAGAGGTAGTACATCTATGTCTTTTAACCACCAAGAACAGCCACATCAACGTCCTCGATCCTCCACATATACCACATAAACAGACTCCTAGATCATGCAAGTAAGCACATTGTCTACATAATCAACAGGGTGAGACATACCTATATGGTGCAAACTTGGCAGCAAGTTCCAGCATATCCTTTTCAGCCATATATTTGAACTTACCACCACCCTTAACCTTTAGTTTGCTCACATCACGACCCACAAAGGCAGCACAACCGCGTCTACTACTGTGTCAATAAACCCGCTGTCCCACAACACAAACGATTCCGGCCATAAGACAAAGGATTTGCATAGAACAAAAACAAGATATAAACTTACTGTACTCCCAAATCTCCAGTGGAAAACACATCAATGCGCTTGAGCGCAAACATTGCAAACATCTCAACCGACCACTTCCCCAATCCACGCACAGCGATAAGTTTCTCAAAAAGCTCCTCATCAGTAGCCCGCGCCAACATCCTTGCCCCAAGCTCTCCACTAGCAAACTTTGCCGCAAGGCCCTGGATATACTCGGCTTTGCGCTGCGATAGCCCCGCCGTGCGCAGTGTAGGAATATCACACTTAGCGACCTGATCCGGGGTCGGGAACTTGGCATGTCTATGTCCATCCGGCGCAATAGTATCCGGTAAATCAAACAGCGTCAAAAACTTGTTCCTGATAGACTTTGCTGCCGCGCCGGAGACTTGTTGGCCGATGATACTGCTGGTCAGGCTGTTGAAGGGGTCGATTTCCTCTGCTAAGCCGGCAGGCGAGAAGAGCGGACATGGATGCTGCTCAATCACTGTTGCGATGCGGGGATCTGCTGCTATAAGGTGCGCGACAGCCTTCTCCAGTAATGTCCCTGTTGTGGCCATCGGACGTGGAAGGCCGGTTTTCGAGGGGGAGGCATCTTCTAGGTGGGCTGGGTAGGCGTTTACCGTTGAACCATGAGGGGTGATGAGGGTTGCATTTGTTCGATGCGGGTCGACGGGGCGGTCGAGAGGAGGGGGGGTCTGAGGTCTGAATATCGTGAGGTTAGTGGTCGAGGGCTGGTTGTCTGTTTCTTGTTTCTCTGTGACTGCTGGCTCGGGGGACCAATAAGAGGTTCCTGTTTTTGGTTTTGTCTTTGTGGGCTTTTTATCTGATTTGTTGGACTTTGTGGGTGCCTTGCGAGGTTTTGTCACAGCGCTGCGTTGGACTCTGGTTGCTTCGCTCGAAGCTGCGCTTTGCCGTAGGGGTGTCTTGATGGTTGGGATGGAACCCAGTCGGGCTGAGCGTCTGAGTGACATTCTTGAGTAATATATGAGATACCCCGTTTCCAATGACCTATGTACCAGCTCTGAGGAAGTCTTGAGAAGGTTATAGGGGAAGCTGGGGTTTGCGGAAGTGCGGAGTTGGGGATTCGCCGCGCTACCCCACGAGTGCCAAGCATAATGATGCTCTTCAATGGCAGCTAAACAGACAGACACGCATACTTCTATCATTGAGCGTTGATTCTCAATATGAAAACTGATTTCATTTTTCTTGTATGTGGGTTTAAATATACCACTTTTCTTGAGCTGTCCCATGTATTCAAATCCATATACTTTTCAATATCTTCTCCACTCAACACAACTATCTATATATCTTCCTCATAAGGAGACCTCCAAGCCCCTCCAGAAAGTTACTTCTAGAATCCATACCTGCTCATGGAAGATAAGTTATACATCCCACTGCACAGTTATTACAACTTGTATTTCTAACCTGGGGTTGTGCATCAAGACTTATAAGTTATATCGAAGTTTACGGGAGTAGAATTTAGATTGAATTGTACATTTATTTTACCTAGCTCTCTCTGTAGACGTAGGCCTAAGAAATTCGTCAACATCTGAATATCCGTTTTGAATTAGTGTATGCAGTCATAGTGGATTTTTTGCAGCATATATCGGCGCTCCCCATTGCTGTGACTGTATCTGTGCTGCCGTGACAAGCGCGGGCTACTATCGCAGCTGCTGCAGTCCCACATATTGTAAGATACCCGTTGCTGGATATTATGGAACAGGGCCCTGCTTATGTATCGCATAGAAGCAAAATTTGGTGCCGAGAGATGGTATATAAAATCTTCCGCGGTAGACTCGTGGCTCGAGCTTCTTGGAAATCAAAATTCACCCAGCGAGCGTGATGTGCTCATTACATTATCATTTAGCCTGGCATATGAAAGGATAATTGAATATCGTGATGGATATGGTGCGCGACGTGTTGAATGCATGATGCTATTAATACCTGTACTTATTGATAGTTCTACCATTCAGTTCTATATTGCAAGCAGTTTTTATGATTTATGTTGATGAGAAATTGAGAAAATTTCTAATCAGTTATCTACATATATATATTACATACTAGAATCGAATCCAAGGGCTGTTTGAACCAATAAAATTCCTAGCATTCTCAATGTTAAAATAGTCTGTGTCGCTATAAATATCCTGGATTCACTCCATGGTATTCACCAGCAAATCAATTCTTGCGAGGCGCATGCGGAAAAAGTATGAAGAGAATTGTACCTTGGATTTATACTGAAAAGTCACACGATTGGATGCAATATACTCCGTTGTAGGAACTATCCGCAGGAACACCCCGTGGACCGAAATTGAAGATCCATGGTAGCTTCGTAATACAATACAACAGCTTTTACATAAAAGTTCGACCACGACTCCTAGTAACCTAAAGGATCAAGTATAGATAGATATAGTCATGATATCGGTGTGATCTTATATTAGAGAAGATGGAGATTACATGGAAGATTCAGGTGCTCACGTCAGTGACCTACGATTATATTAACTCGCCGACTAATTACATCCGGGAGGGAAAAAGAAAAGTGGAAATGAACCGACCGGTCATTTAATGCAATTAGAGATCGACCAGTAAAAACAGAGATTAGCATTTAGGCTGAAGCGATGGACCGAGTCAAACCCCCGAAGACGTTTCTGTATCAGTTCGAAACAAGAATGGATCCTTGTTTGTGAGACCACTAGTTTTGGAAGCCAACAGACCACGAGATCTTCGCATTGCAGTCCTAGTGTGCACGA